GCGTAGAGGAGTTAGTGAGAGTGCAATAGAGGAAGAGAGAGCGGCGGAAATATTTAAGTTAAATATGCAAAAATCACTGTGCAGAGAAAATAGTGAAAATATATATATTTTTAAATCTAGGACGTTTATATCTATATATCTATATCTATATCTGTATAGATATAGATATATATAGATATAGATATAGATAGATCTAGATATAGATATAGATATATATCCACATATGTATATAAACGTCCTATTTTATATATATATAATTTGTTACCTGTTGTTAGAGGGTCTCAAAATTTTTATTTATTTATTTGTTTATTGGTGCCTTTATATTGCAGCATTTGTTTGATTCAAGACAAAGCCATCATACTGTTGATCAGAAAGATCCTGTTTACATGACTGCCAACATTTTTTTCATCTCTCTTGTCATACATTTAACACATAGAACAATATGTCAGTGAGCATGTTTAAGTTTTTAAATTGATAAGTTATTTTAACCTTCTTTCTTTATCATTTGGGACCCAACTAGGCTTTTACATTTGCAAAAACCATAATCTCACCAGGTCATTGTGCTAGACATAAATTTTGTCTTTATCTCAGGCGCTTTGTCCCAGCTCTTTTACTTTTGCCCCCTTTGTCTGCTGGATGTCCTGAACACAGGATTCATATTCATCTCTCAATAACATTTAATTAGTTATGCCAAATTCATTAACCTGTACTGCTGTTCAGCTGGCCTTGGTCATAAATTTGCTTAATGTGAGCAGACGCTTTGCAGCTGTAATAAGGGACATAAAACTTAAAGAGAAGCACACACACTGTCCCTATCTAGTCATGGATCATTCAAACTTGTGTTTTGGACCAGCAGTTTTTCTGCATGAGATACTTTAACAAGTTTTCTATGAATCCCTACAATTTTTTTATTTATGCCTACATTTACAGGAATCAATTACTTATTCGGAAAAAATTGTTTCACAGTAATTGTGAATTAAGATTAATCCTGTGCTTCAAATTAGTTTTGTTTGTCAGGTTTCAGCATATGTGACATGACTGGGAAATCAATGCAGTTTTGATAGCTTTTCTCTGCCAAGCTGGTCATTTTAAGCAGTAATAAATGCACAAAATAAAGTACTATTGTTAAAACAAAATAAATAAGACAACCTTCACTGTCCGAGGTTAACACATTGACTTTCCTGTGGTCCTCTATCCCTCAGTGGTCTCGCCTAACCAAAGAGCCTATTAGACCTGAATCCCACTTTGCTGTTAAAAAGGGTCCTGTCCTTTCAGCACACTCACTTTCCTGCTTTCTGTTTTTTATGGCATAGGTGGTAAAGAAACACAAGTTCATTGTTCCCTCGCAGATGGAAGTTGGAGTTACCAGGGTAACGGCTCTAATCCTCTCCTTTTTTTACCATTTCTTTCATATTAACAGTCCATCGAGAGCCACTTTTTAAGTCACAGGCAAGGAGTGCTTGCTTACCCACTTTTAATTAGCCATGACTCTGTTTGCCAGGAGACAGCATGATGAGCTAATCGAAATTTACCAAATAATGACGCCCTGCGAGAGGCTACTTCTTCCTCCTGCGTCCTGCTCCAAGAATAACAATAATGAGGCCATTATGGAGGATTGCACTTTAAAAAGGCTGTGCTGCCACCAAAACAGAGGACATAATTGTTGTAGTGTTTTCCATACAATCAACAACCCATTGTAGATTGACTTCAGAACGAGCAGAGCAAAGAATGGGTGTCATAATGATTGGTCTATACTGCCTTCAAGATGCTGTACAAAGTGCACAGTGAGCTAGATAGACTACTGATTTTGTTGTGAATGAATTCAACTGTCTGGTTTTGTATGAAAATGTATTTTCTTCTTTTTTTTGTGTGTGTATTGCAATTTATTGTGTGTGCGTTAACTGTAACTGAGAACCCACCCCCAATTCATGCAATGAGATGCAAAGAACCTCAAAACAATTGGAGCGATTGACCACATATGCAAAGCTCCGTTTATGTTTTGCAGAGGGTCTAATGAAAGTGTGTGTGTTTCTAAAAGAAAATGTAATAAAAAAAAACATTGTACTCATTAGCACACATTCAAAAAGTGAGCGTAGTTCAATCAGGCATGTCAGCTGAGCGTTATCTATCATATCAGGATGGCTCAGTTTGAACACCGCATGTCTGCACTCCAAACTAACTCAATTACAGTTTGGGCCATCTTGAAATTAAAAAAGATCCACAGAGACAAAAAAAAAAATTATTCAAAAAAAAGTTTCACATCTAATCTCGCAGGTGGAGAGGACGCTGCGGTTGCACAAACATGGCTTTGCAGCTATTAGTTGAGCTCCATTGTAATAGGGGAGAGGAGAAATCGGGGCTTGAGGGCAGAAGGAATGCTAAGTGGGCCCCTTAGTCTAGTCAACCTTCAGTGGGTTTCATTTATCTTCATCTTGTTAGGCTAAATTAATTAACAATCTCAATGTTACACACTTTCTCCTTTCATTACATCAAATAATGGCGGAAATGTAGAGGGAGGTTCTGCCCACTGGGAGTACACTGAGACTGAAGATCTCGCTGTCTGCCTGTCTCCCTCTCTCTCTATTTCTCTCTCTCTTTCAGTCATTATCTCTCTGTCTTTCTGTTCACATATCTGCGCTTTGTCCCTTTCCATTTCTCTCTTTTGCTCACTCTCATTTTCCCTCTCACTTTTTTTGACTGCACAAACAAAAAGCTGATAAATACGTCGCCGAGACATATAAAAAATTGATCTAAGGTGAAATCAACAAAGAGAAGCTAAGGAGGCTGAATGACAAATCGTATGCAGTAAGACAGAAAACTTTTGGCTCTGTTCAGAGAATTTTAAAAACACTGTTTACTAAAACCAGACTCAGAAACAAAAGCTTGAGAGTTGGGCTTAAAATGAAAACTCAAACAGTTTGACTTCCCATTTTCTGTCACAATAACTGTGTAACAGGTTTCGTGTTTATTAAAAATGAAAGTTGTTTCATTTGGAGACTCCAAAACTCATGCCAACTCAAAACCAACCTCATGACTCAACACATTAATGAAAGAAGGCACATCTGTGATGAGGTACTAGAGCATAAAAAGTCAAAAAAATCAAAAAGCAATCCTCTCTGGAGAAGATTTGTATGTATGGCGCTGCTTAGAGAACTCACTTTGACCTAACTTTGTTTTTAGAATAAAGAAACTAGGATTCTTTAATGGAGAACGGTGCTTTTCCACCTCTGCTTCTTTGCATTTCACCCCCTGCCTCAAAGCCCACTTCCCACTCCAGGACACAAGTCTTATCAAAGCAAAAAGGGCTAACCCTGAAGCAAAGCCTGCCTTTAATCTTGGCCCGATTGTCTGGGCCTCAATCAGTGTGCATAATATCTTTCTGCTGCTGCCTTTAATTAAAACTGACATTGACAGAAGGGTGTGCATTAGAGGTGCAATAAGGCATTGAAAAAAATGAAAAACCTGTCACAAATAGTGGGAGAAAAATGTAAGAAGCATCCAGTGAAGGATCTAATTTTTGTTTATTAAATATACTATCTCGTGTTAACTGTTCAAAATGTACGACACCCCTCATCTTTTTGGTTGCACATTAAACTGGTTTCAACAGGTGCTGAGAGATCCACTTCGTGGGATTTTGACAAAGCGGAAATGAGAAACGGTAGCGCGCATTTGAAAATTAAACAAGTTTATTTCAGAATAACCATCAGCTACACCCCACCAACAAAAATTGGTGTCGTTTAGATAGTACATTTTTCAGTTTGTATTTTACCTTTTAAATGTGGAAACTGTAAATAAAGTTAGAATGTGATAATATAAACTATAAACTTTTACTGTTGTGGAACAGAATTTAGATTAAAAGCTTTGCTTAGTTCATAGATTTGCATGTGTTAAAAAAAAATGTCCTTGTAAAGTCAACTCAAACAGGATGATTTTGCTAAGAGTTTATTCCTCTTTTGGAGAAATGCTAAAATAAAATACCACCTCCCTTTTTTTAAGGTATTAAATGTGAGATTCCATCTGTTTGAAAAAATAAAAACAATTTCAAATAGGCAAGACATTTTCCTATTGAATTCCTGAAGGACGTTTTGATGAGCAAGAGTAATGGTATCAAATTGTCCTTTCTTTTTAAAATGCCCCCAACCGTTCTGTGGGAGAAAAAAAATGCTGTTAATTTAATCAAATAAGTGACCTTTTGAAAAAGAAATCAAAGAGGATTCATTAGCTTTAGTAAAGTTTGGCTGACAGCAGCTTTGAAAGGCAGATGCTGCTGTGGCTTTTAATGAGCCAGCCCTAATTAGGGAGCAACACTGGAGCCTAGAGAAGGTGGTTGACTAGGAAAGGAGCCAATGGTAAATAAGCTTGCTTATTTACTTCCACTGTGTAATGACAGCACACATTTTTAATTAGAATCCAGGATGTGTAAAGGCAAAAAAAAAAAAAAAATGCAAATCTTTACATTAGGGTGAAGACAAACACAGGATGGAAGGGGAAACAAGAGTACATCACAAGACTGATTTGCCAGTGATTGCCTCAACCAGCCAGCCCTGATAAGGGTGTTTAGCAAGGCAGGGGCAGATGAGGAGAGTGGTCAGACAAGAGCATGCAAGAGTTTGAAGACACGGAGAGCCTGACCTGCAGGCTGTTAAAACTGTGAAATGAGTGGAGGCAAGGGGTGGGGTGAGCTCGTGTGTATGTGACCGTCAAGTTGTTGATGTGTGCTTTCAGTCTGACTCAAGGCTGTAAGGGTGAGCATGCTTCACAGCCACGCAACACATGAACACAACTGTAACAAACAGCTTGGGTAAATATGCAAGAATCTGTGTTGGACAGTCTTTCAAATGTACAAACACATGCGCACACACAAACATGTGCACGCACACACAAGGGGTAAAGTCCACAGCTAACAATGTGCCAGAGAGATTAACCCCCCGACGTGTGCCTGCCACACCACCCTTGCCTGACCTGTGATCCTAGATGGCAACAACGGAAATGAAACTAACCTCAGTAAAAAGCTGCTACGAAGAAAGCCCTCCATGTCAGCGAGTGGGGTTCTGGTAGGAAAAATCACAGAGAACATCTTTTTTTTAACTGGGAAATAAGTTATAATCAGGAAGAAGAGCAACAAGAGATAGGGAAGGAGGAAAAGAAGGGAGAATAAAGCAAAGAAAAACACACTGATCATACATCTTCCTCTTATGCATGATCTTATGTCTTTAATTAAAGCAAAAATATGACTTGGAACCCATCCTCTTTTTTATGAACTGACATCATTAATTACATCTTTTTCCATTGAGGGATTGGATTTGCATACAACATCGGTTTGTGCTGATGATATGTTAGCATCAAATAAACCCTGCTTACTGATCTCCATGCAGCCCATATCCACAGCTTTGTGTAGATATATGGATGTGGATCCAGCCCCTCTGACCACAGAACCCTTCTGTTCAGAGTAGCCAGCGGTGGTCCAGCTGCAGCCCATGTGTGGCGAGGCTGCTGTGGCTTCTAGGAGCTCGGCCACAAGGGACCCAAGCTGGGAATCGCAGCGCCAAAGAGGCAAAAGGATGTGGTCATGATGTCACCACTTGTATAGGTCGCTCAGAAGCCGTACCCACAAAAAAAAAAAAAAAAAAACTGCAGACACATGACTAAAATTGACTTACAACAGGTTTCCATTAGGCAATGTTATTGGTCTGTGTAATGTACACTTTTTTATTGTGTTAAGACTGACTGAAAATTGATTGCGACTCATGCATTTTGTTTAAGTGGTGGAAAAGAGCAAGGATTGCACAGAATGATTTTGTCAGTGGAAACTTTACTGGCTGCTGAACTTTCTTTCTCTGTTTCAATAAAATATGCTGCTATTCCAATCTGAAAAAAATATATATCTCACATATATATGTCAGATATATATATATTTATTATATTGACATAATGTCATATTATAATATAGAGACATTTATCCTCAATATTTATTCTCATCTTTGTCCTTTTATTCAATTTCACTTTCTTAAAGTTCAGAAGGAGTAGAGTCAATACAAAGCACGACTGTTGTGGGAACTGCTACTTTTAAAACTAATCATGAAAAAAAGCACTAAGAAATAATCATAAGAAACACAAGTCCAACAACGGACAACATCTCAGCCCTTAAACACCTTAAGTTTTAGTTGCATGAGTGTAATTTAGCATTTTCCATTCTTGCTCAAGTGGCTTACGAGACAAAGCCTGTGAGAAAATGGAAAGAATGAGCCAAGCCCAAGGACACTGTGCCTTTCAGCCCGGCCAGCACTTAGCGAAGCAGTGGCTCCACAAGGCCCAAAGGGCTCAGCCGAGACTTTTCTCACAATAAGGTGTCTGGGGAGGCGGGAGTGGCATAGCCAGGGGTACTTGCAGCCCTGCTCTTTTCTCCACTCTGTTGGGCCCAGAGCACATAATACCATCACCATGCCACAGCACACCGAGCCAGTGACAACGTGAGAAAACAACCGTCAAACAGAGCAGAGCAGATCAAGCGTGTCTCCTCACTTCTGGGAGTGCAAAAAGCACGCAGTGCAGGCACACACAAACCAACAACAATCATCGACTCAAATGAATTCATTCTAAACTTAATGCATAGACAAAAATATATACAATTTCACTTAATTTGATCTTGAATGCATTAACTGTGAAGCAAACGTCACTAAGATGCTTGAATCTTACAGACCTTTCATAAGGGTTACAGCGAGACGAATAAATTAGAGCAGACCAAGCAGAGTTTCTATCTATAGCTCCTTATGCAGTTCATATTCTTTTTCTGCTGTATTGTGCATTCATGTTTTTTCAGCTGACCCACTATGATGAGAAATAACTAAATTTAGACTAAGAATGCAAATATATAAAATGTGGAGAAAATTGCCTGATTACAGAAAATTGTGGTCAAAATCTCTGTTCTAGGAAGACTTGTATCCATTAAGATTCAGCCATAACTCAAAAACAAATATATTGTTGATGGGAGGATAGTTCTCACTAAGTTGGCAAGGGCCAGTCCGAGCAGCTCAGCACCCGTTCAAAGAAAGAGCTTCTGCCAAGAGCTGCCTCTGCTTAACCAAGTCTCCCACCATCTGCAACAAATGTGCTCTATTAAAGCAGTACCATATGGACAACAAGCTAGCTATTAACACGGCTTCAGCACATCCTTTAACCTAGCCCAGATTTCAAACTTCCAGTCAAATTGACTGCTGATTTAATGCACCGCCAGCAGCCATGTGGGTCTTGGCACACGTCGGCACTCTCAGTCTTCAGTCATTAACGGGCTCACATAGTGCGCAGCAAACAGCGAGACACAGAAGTTAGCCGCACAGAGCGCAGCAGCTACAGCATCCCAAGGTGGTTTGTATGCTCCCTTAAATAAACCAGTACGAAAACGGTGGGCAATGCCAGTATTTTTCTGAAAAGAAAGCTGAGTCTAAAAGATTCAACAGCTCACAATAGAGAAAGCATATGAGCGTTCAAGATAATGACTTAGAGTTAGAAGATAAGGTAAGGAGATAAGAGTGGTGACAGGATGTGTACTTGGAAGTACCATGAAGATGTCTCATTCTCATCTGACTCATATGATGACCTAACAAACTTTCATATATCCATGAGCTCTTTCTTGTAATTCTGATGCATCTGTTAGAAAACCTTTTCTTAAAGATAACATAGCTATTTTTTTTTTCTTTTTTTGTGGTTCTAGACTTCATGATAGATTATTGCATTTGTTTTAATATATATTTTTCAATTCCACCTGTCTCTGATGCTGATGTTTTGTTTATGCAATTGCATGCAATTAATTTGGATTTTGGTACATTTCCAAGAAACATAACACTTAATCAGGCACTTCAAAGAGGTTTTCCACCAGTATCAAGAAAGACTTTGACTGATTGAGTTCCAATTAGCTGATTTTTTTTTTTTTTTAATGAAATATCATATGACTCTCCTGGCCATTGTTTTGACAGCAGTAGCATTGTGCCTTCTGGCTATGTTACCAGTGTGTGCTTGCTTTAAGTTCGAGTTTGGAAAAGTATTATCACATGAACTGCATAGTTCAAATGCATTCAGGGTTGTTTTGTAGGCCACTAAATAATTTCATCTCTCCCCGGAACTACAAAAATGGCCGAACGTGGTGGAGTGGAACGTTCTACAATCTGGAGGGCGGTGGGTTGTGAAGTACTTCATTCGCATTTGAAGAGTCCGCAACAAAATGAGATGCTGTCAGACGCACTTCAGAACATGGTTAAAAGAGGGGCTTGTGGAGCTACAATAATGAGAAATTCAGTCCAAAGCATTGCTTTTACACTTTTGACAAAACACAATTGAATGTGAAAAGGAAGGATTTAAAAACACCACATAGCCACTTAAAAAAATAACTAAACAAATGGCTAGAATTGTGTTCCTTAAGAAGCTTAAAAAGCCATGACATCGACATCTCATTTTCAAATCATAGCAAAGTAACTTTACTGTATGCAAAAGCATGACTCATAAGAAAGTAACATACAGTAATTTAATCAAGACAAATCATTTCAGTAATCTTAGTTGTCCTGAAAAGAGAAACAATCTAAATTAATTTCAGACAGTGACAAACAAACATGAAAAATCTCTGCCGATGCTAAAAATAATTAGCTAAAGATCTTCATGGTGACAGTCAAATAGATCTCTCAAAGTTCTCTTACATGCTATGGGTGATAAGTTACTTTTGGTTTGAGAAGAAAGAAGAAGGGGATAGAAAAGGGAACTTTCAAACTATTCATAAATTCCCCCTTGGAAAAAAAGAAAGGATGGTTGGAAAAGCACAAATCAGAACGCAGTGACAATATACACATCTGCACCTTTTGGTAGGACACACAGGAACACACACCATCAGTTCCCTTAACTAATCTGAATTAGTCCAAGAGGTGCTACTGTCCCTGTATCACATCATACAAATGCACACCTTGCTCACAGACACACACAAATTTCAGTCAGCGTTACCAGATGAGTAGTGAATTAATTTGTGTGAGCCACTCCAACATTAGGAAGGTGTGTTGAAAGGTGTCTGCTCATGTTTCAAATTAAACGCGCTGCTGGTCAGCATTAGCACCTCGACACCCGTCGGCAACTGACACTTAGGGAGCTAGGAGGGGGGAGGATGGGAGGAGGGAGGGGATCCCATCCCCTGTTCACACTGGAATAATTAGAACATGTCAGGAAGAATTAATTTTCTCATTTTTCAAAAGGATACACAGAAATTACCATGTTATTATATGACAGGGTCCCTGGGAGGATTGGATTAAATTTGATTTCTTGTGCAGCCCACACAACAAATTAAAGTCATAAATAAGATGGAAAGAAGCGGGCACAGAGCATATGTTTATGGCAATGAGTGAAGCCAAGGGAGCAGAAACAACCATCTTCATTTCATTTTATTTAAATCAGGCCAAAGCCGTGTGTCTGAATGACAGCAGTTGCTAATGGGACAATATTAGAGGTTTCTTGATATTAACACAGAGGTCTTGCAACTTCAACCGAAGACGCATAAAATAAAAAAATGTGTGAGCTTGTACGCCATTCTATTCTGCACTTATTACACCAGTAACTATGGTTATGCCATGACAAACCTTTCTAAATTTACTTATTTAACTGTGTTTATAATTTTTCCACACTTTGAAAAGAGGAGAACCTACAAAATAAAACTGAATGTTTTTAGTGCCTTTTAGTTGTTCATATGTTTAGCTGCACCTCCAACTTATATGTTCTCACTGTCTGAACCAAATGAACTGTAGAGAAATATTTTCTTTTATAGTTCTCTTTTTTTTCAGAAATGGAAATAAATATGAGCTATAAACTTGAAATGAATTGAATGAGTTCTAAAAATGATCTTTTATGTTTTTTAACCTTTAACTGCTCCATAATGTTTAATTGTAATTTCCTATGAGCTTCAGAATGTTTGAATGATGTGTATTTAATAAAAAGTCACACATAATGACACGTTTCTGACAATTTTGGCTGGATGTGCCATTGCACAAAAAATAAAAATTTTGCCATTGAAATCAAAACTATTTGGGGTTATTTGAGTTCATTTTTAATGTCTTGTTTTCTAGAAATAACAAAGCTACAACTGAGAAAAAATTAAAAGTCTGAATAAAGGAGCATTTCCAATTGGATCACAGGATTAGGATGCGATAAAGTCTGCATTGAGGAACATGAACTGAATCAATCCAAAATGCACATAGCTTTTCTCTTGAGACCCAAATGATGCTTGTTAGCTCAGGATTACAATGTAGTGTGATCTTAGCTGAGGAGTTTTTTTTCCTTTATCTCTGTAGAAATGGGCTGCCATTAGACCATAGTGCTCCCCTGGGCACCACAAACTTTAAATAATTTGCGAATCAATTAACCGGCTACTCACAATGCAACAAGGATTTCACACTCTAGGGCTGTGCTGCATTATCAGCTGGAGACGATTCATGGCTTTTTGGGAGAAAAGCTCATGGCTGAAATCATTAATTCGTTTTACCAGACTTTTAGTTATGCATTGCTTTCTACAGCTGGTGTGAAAGAAGATTAATGGCATCTTCTCTGGTGCTCTTTTCTGACAGGAGTGTGTACAGGGAAAAAACTCTATCTCATAATAAAAAGGATATGTAAAATACGAAACAGGACAACAGAAAAATCCATATTGGCCTTTTACTCATCTTTTTTTTTATGCTGTTAAATGGAAAGTGGGCATCACAACACGGCACAAAATATCATCAGGTAAAGGATCGTGAGTTTTACACATTTCCACCATCGACATCTAAACAATTAATATCGACCAACTCAGCTTTGGGATTTACTGAATGAAGTCTTTGTGGTTGATTAAATTAAAATCATTGTCACGCAATTTCTGTTTGGCATATTGACCACAATCATTGGAGGGTCAGCGGATTGAAGAGACTCATTTGTTAGATAATAGATACAGAGAAGTCATTCACCAGTTCATTTTCATTTTAGGATGAAGCGGTGTTCATTTAATTTCACTCAAAATGGCTCCCCACATCCCAATGGTGGCCCATCAACACTGGCCTGAACAGCTGAGAGACTTTGTGGCGGCAGCTTATTAGATAAACGATAAATTAACAGAATGCATATCCATTCAGACGGTTGCAATGTACTCTCAGGTGTTTCCAGAGGAGACTGGATGAGTCCAATTAAGCATGTTACATCAGATGCACAAACTAGATTACTTCCAGTGATTTTTAAAGATTAATTAAGTTTCTAAGTCAAAATATTCAGATTCTTGATTGTATGAAAATCTAGCTAAAAGTGAAGGGGGCAAAACCACAGTTAATCTGCTGGGGATTCATGCCGGGTTATCTTTTGTAACAAATAAAGACAGGAGACTAATAACCTTGCAAACTTTCACCATAAACACGTCAGTTCAGTGCTTGGATGCTCAAACCTGATTAGCATCAGGAAACGTGTTTTTTAACCAGCACATGCAGGTAACATGATGTTACTAATATGTACAACCATACGTATGCATTTTTTTTTTGAAATTGCTTTCTGGTTTTTGCGATTTTTTCACCTAGTAATGTTAACTGCACAGATTACACATTGAATACTATACTCATTTTTATACTTATTGTTATAAAACGCTTCGACAGAGATTGATCGTTTAACCTTCACATATTAATTTTGCATTGTCCAACTCCTTTATGTTCATAAACTGCTGTCTCTATGTTTCCTTTGAAATGAAAACAAAAAATTAGACGCTGCAGCTTGTCAATTATTACTTCCTCCTCCTCCAGACTTGTGAGCGTGTAGCAGTGATTTCTCTCTGCCAATATGACTGTGCTTTGTTGTAACACACACATAACAAACACCATAATGTTACTGCAGTGGGAAGAGTTTTACTCTCTGTGTCTTATGGAACGTGAAGGGTCTGTGAGAAAACGAACATAATGCTTTTTTTAAAAACTTCAAAATTACAACTATTATTACAATCATAATATATTTTTAGTAATGTTAACTGTATTAATCAAATCAACATGTCTTATTTTAGCAGCAGCACAAATGGTTTTTATTTTATTTGTATTTATTTATTACAAACAGACAAAGAATAAAACAAGAAAGAAATAAAAATTAAAACAAATGATCATGCATTATTCATTCTATTTTGCTTTCAACAAAAGCAAGAAGTGCTCTCCATGTCTGTTTCATAAAAGAAAACCACAGCATTCTTACCAAAGATTATCATGCCATACCACATCTTTGCAATTTATATCAATGCTATTAATATATTTTACATTGTGAAATGTTCTGTTTGTATTTAAACTCAATGTTTGTTACATCTATCCTGACTGACAGATGACTGGGAGCTGGAAATAGGTTGACAGGTGTGCACTCCTGCGATCAGAAGGCATTGTGTGATGAGAAATAGAGTGATCAAACAATGGTAAATGGCCATGAACTTTGAATTCAGACAGACATTTCAAAGCTGTTATTGAGGAGCTTCCCAGCCACAATATTATGATTCCCGTGGCAACTCCAATGACATTTATAAGAGAAGAATAATATCATCTAAGTTCCTGACTTTTATTTGTTTAATATCTTGGATAGATTTTCATTAGAAAACCTGCACTGCCTGCAGCTGCAAAAAGAGGGTTAACGTAATATTCGTGCAGAGAGGATTCAGGTGTATTTAACGCTGCTTTAAAGTACATCTAATTTCACGACAATAATATTATTATATCTCTTTAGATGTTTAAAGTAAAGCTTCCAAAGACACATTTCGATGCACAATTCCAACAAAAATAGGTTTAAGGGGCTGACTTTTGAGGAAAAAGGTCTGTCAGCACTGTTGTGCCTGAAACTGTTTAATTGTGCATACGATGTGAGTCTATCTAATTGTCCACCTCATTTAATGCAGGTGTTCGGTGTGGGTGAAAGGCAGCAGGGATGTGTGAGACGTGGCAAGACAGAGACAGCTGAAGAGGCAAAGTGATACTTACAAAACCTGAAAGACTCGATCCCCAGCTTCCAGTGATCACTGGTTGGTTGACTTTGAACTCATGTAAAAAACCTGGAGAGTAACAGAGAAAAAGACCATTTTGTGCCACATCTTTGAGTTTAGTTTCATTTGACTAATTAGGTTACAACTATTAACATCAAATTAAAAATAGTTAGAATCATTTCAGTTTGCAAAAAGCAAGTGGGATCACAAACTCTTGACTGTGGGACGGATGAGCTAAAACAGTGATAGTACCTCTTGGTCATCATAGTTGTCAATAATATAAATCTGTTCTGCAGTCTCTCCTCTGCTGCCTCATTAATCTACCTTTCCATCTGCAGATTTCACTAATACATAGCTTGCATAATAAACCAGTTGTTTTATTTCATTTTTCCATCTTGCATCCAGCTCCGACACCTAGAGATTTATTGAGAGGCCATGCTCTGCTAGTTTAAGAGTGTCTCTTAAAGAGCTGGTAACTTTGTCAGAGCTTACAAAGCAACATGAAGTTCCAGGGCAGAGTACATTCACTCCACCTGAGCCATTTTTTCTTTTCTGCACATCACTGAAACTGTGTAAGAATTATAACTGATTGTTTTTTTATTAAAAATGACAATTGTATAAAAAGACTGTTAATGTTGTCAAATTATACAAGCCCAAAAAGGTATTTCTGTTTATTACATAATTCCTTGTTTAACTAATTAGGGAAACAGCTAATTGCATAGAGTCATTGACTTTGCACCAATTCCTTCTCTAGACTCCAGACCAGTACATGGTGGCAGTGGACAGTTAATCACATTGATAAATTAACATTGCAGCAATCCCTTATCCTCAGTAAACATGTGGCAACGAACGGTTTTCTTCCTGTTTACCAGGAAGTGGGAACAATTCAAAACACCTTAAACTGAACACTTTTCTATCCACGAGTTTCAGTGCTATAATATATACCCACTCTACACTTTCACTGGACACCCTTCTGAAGCTTATCTAAGTTTTATGAGCCAAAATCTGTGTATTAAGGTTTTAAATGAAGTGGAGGGAGTCACTTCTCACATTTGGCTCTAGAATTATTGTAACTCATGTTGTCTTTTGCTCCCTGATATAGATGACTGGCAACAAACAATCCCTGCCTGAAGGTTCAACCCTGACCTTTTCATTCTTACAAAGTGCCTACAATTTCCAAACCAACTCATTGTCAAGAGTATGTGCATTTAATCCATCTGTCCATTATCCTGCATGCTTATCCCCAGTGGGGTTGCCAGGGGTTCTGGTACCTGTAGGGTGAGAGGTCAGGGCACCACCTGGACAGGTCGCCAGATCATCGCAGAACATGTACTTTTTAGGGTTTTGATATTTTGTTGTTAAAACAGGTGACATTTAGAGGAATTTGACTCAGAACAATTGGGACGAATTGACAACACAGAAATACCAAAGACATCAGACCAGGAGGTGGAAAAGCTTCAGGCTTGTTTGTGTTCATTTTCACATATTATCTTGTTTTTCACAATAAGCCTGGATCTCATTACCAGCCAATTTATACAATTAGTCTGCTTCTACACTGCCAATTAAACAAGGCCAAGGGTTTTTTTGAGGTCACGCTTAACTGATCTGTCACTAATTTGCAGTGCAGCCCCTCAGTCTTCCTTTGCCGGGGCCAATAAGCCACCATCAACAAGGCTGGATAAATATATAGAACGGCCAAAGCATTGTTGTCGGAGCACAGCAGAATCTGCTGCGGGGGAGGCTGGAGGGCTAACTGAGTGAGATGGGCTTGAATGTGGCAGCCTTGAGGCTATAGAAGTGACAATGGGAGTGAGGGGACCCCTGTGACCTCAGCTGAATGGAACGCCGCTCCATACAGCAGCACATTGCTTCCACCACAAAATATATATATATATTTTTAATCCTTGAAAGATTGTTTGCACATTTTTACAAGATATTCTTTACTTTATTGTCATAGATATCATCGTATAAAGTTCATTTCCAAAGCAAAAGGTTAATGAAAATAAAATACCAGATCAGCACAGCTGTAGGTTTTGTTTATTTAACGCAACAGGAACTCAGGTATAAAAGGTGCAGCCTCACTGATAATCTGAATACTTTCCTCTATTTCACCGTTCCCAACCAGCACCAGATGCAACAACCTATTCCTGTCTTTACAAATACATGTAATTTACTTTTAATTGCCATTGATGCACACCAACAGCCCCAGCCTGTGGGATAAAAGACATATTCCATGGATGGCAACTCAGTAAACCCCTTTGTCTATTTCACTGAGAGCTCTTGTAATCACAGAAAGTGCTAATAACAACAGAGCTTTCAAACAATGATTTGATGTTAATTGAGGACAAAGAGATAAATAAGACATGGGGTGCTGCATTATTTATACACTGGTTATTATAGTTAATTATTTTATCTTTTTTGAATGGGGGAAAATCACAAAAGAATTTATAATTGCAAATAATGAGAAAAGCCAGATGATATTATAATGAAACAAATGCAGGAATCCCTGGTGTTCAGTAGTCAGTGTCAACTGACCTGTTGTACCACCATGCAGGAGCCTTTTTTATATCCCACCTCAGGCTCAGAAACATTAAACAAGCTCTCTTTATCACCAATTATGGCATTACTGCTTTTTCTTTTTTCTTTTTTTTTTTTTTTACAACCAATTCCAGTTAATCGTTTTTTGTTTATTGTTAACGGTGTGAGACGGAGAAGACTGCGCTGAAATGATCTCACCACACTCAAACTACCAGAGGTTTTGCTCACAGGTAACAAGTTTCAAACAGACTGATGCAGCTGGACATCAAAGGCGCAAAAAAACAGAGAGCTCACAGTCACCTGTGGCATTTCAGTCAAAGAGTGCCCTTTTTCTTCAGCCCTGGCTGCATAGCATCGCAATCTCTTGCACACACATGCACACGCACACATGTTCACTAAAGAAGAAATACTTGGAAGCAATAAAGCTCAAGCTGTAAGTAAAGTTTTTAAATTAAAAAAAAATAATGGAACCATTTTGCACAGTCCTGTCATATACTGGTGATTTGAATAACATACTGAATTTAAATGACAAGCTCATTCTTCTTAAAAGTCTTAACTTTGATACTGTACATCAATTATTACTGCTACTTAAGTCCAGTCCTGTTGTACAGAAAATTAAACACAGTAAAGAGTTTCCTATTAAGATTTTTATATTAATAGTCTTCACTTTGTGTGAGCTTGTTTGGTGTGGAATATGCCGACCATCACTTTGTCTGACTTTTAGCCCCTTTTTTCCCCCCCAATGATGACCCAAATTTCAAATAGCTCTCCAAAACTTTTGTCTCCTATTCACCTTTCACTGTCTTTTCTTCATTGAGCTCCAATCCCAACCAGGAAGCTTAAATAAACAGTGTAAACTCAAACCGAGGCAATTTCTGTGGATGCACGTATTGTGGAGTCAATCACTAAAAGAAGAACATGTAGAAACAACAATCACTGTAAAATACAGCATGCACCAGCTGTACCAGTTCTTCAAAATAAAGCTCACATTGAAATCTAAGCTGCAGCTATACTTGTTCCATGTATCACAGTGCATACTTCTATTATTTTGGTAAAATTAATTTATTTTGCAAATAAATCTATTCAATTGTAAACACTAATTTTAAAACTCCCACTTTAAAACAATTAAGGGTCTTTCTTTTGCCTGCAGAAGCTTCCTTTGTAGATTATCATAGAAGCATATTTAAATAATATTTCAATTTTTATTTTTGAAATGTACGATAAAATAAGCCTGCGTTGGCCAGTGTGGTTGGGTTGGGCAAAGCTGGAGCTCATCTTTCGATCAGTTGCAGCTGATAGTTATAGATTGTCTTTATTATTCTGAGAAATGTGGTTTGATTTAGTGATGACAGAAAGTAGTATTGAATCTTTCACATTTTAATTGGAGAAGTTCAACAAATAGAAATAAACTAAGAGATGAGATGAGAATTACAGACTTATATTTAGGCAAACGTATTTAACTAGATGGTGCTTTGTTGCATAAACTTTGATTCTCTTCAAAAATGCATTTTAACATGTCAACGCTGGTCAACATTTTGTCCTATTTTGCCTGTTCGGACTTAATTCAGACGGTGATTAGTGCACTTAGATTTCTATTAAATCTAAGTGCATTTTAGCTCGGGCATTTTCTGATTTTCTGCAGTAGAATGATATGTCCCTGCTGCATACTCTGCATGTGTGTCACAGCCATGTGTGGATATGCATGAGCAAGCTAAAACTTATACTTCAACTCCTGCTTGGAATTTGTCCAGATCTGCAGCACTTTTATAAAAAAACTAAATAAAAATCCTCCCAATCCTCCATCCCAAATCCTCACTCTCCTCTTCGTCCGAACACGCTAAAGTAGGAATTCTGCAGAGTTAGTTATTTTGACAATAGAGTAATCTATGCCATCAGTAGGCTTGCTCCCTACCTGGGCGCAGTGTGGTTATCTCTGCAGAAGCAGCAGCCACACAGTCAGCCTGGAAACTGCACGAGGGACTTTGGGACGCAATGAGATGGGGCTGTAACAGTGGTCCCGACGGAAATAGCGGAAAGGCTAAGGAGGGGTGGCTGGGGGTAAATTGGTGAAGCCCAGAATATTCTGGCAAAAAAAAAAAGTCTGATATTGTAACCAAACAAGTAAAATTAGCAATTCTGGAGACAAATGCTCTGTGTTATTTTTTTCTACTGATCTCGCATCATCTGCAAACAAGGCTTGAATTTTTTTTTTTTTTGCAATAGTGTAAAGTAAAAGGACTTTAAGGCATACCCAGGCAGCCATGAAGAACAAAAAATCCTCCACTATACACCAGAAAGACAATTTGAATTTCTGCAAGAGGCTGTGATATTGAGTTATTTGTTGCTGGAAATGTGGTCAATCACATGCAAACAGCTGTTATACACTCCAGCTTACCGTTACTTGTCACAGCTTTACAAACCTCTCTCGTTTTATCTTTCCTCTGTTTCTCTCAGACTGCCGGGTTTTTTCTCTCTCCTTCTTTCTCTGTCCCCTGACACTGACACTGAAATACATCAGACCAGACACTCAC